ATTGTCAAATCTTATTTCCTGGTACTATCCAATTATCCCTAAAATTCATAATCCATGATGTACGGTATGTACCAAAATTGAAATTTAATCTTCTTTCCATATCAAAATTAATTTCCTCTCTTAAATACTCAATTACTTTTTCTGATGATTCTTGTCAAATACAGGAAATTGACAGGTGTCAGATAATTGGTTTGGCAAATTGACAAAAGGTCTTTACTATTTAGAAAACAAAAAGGAAGGAGAAAACCTCATTTCTTGTGCCAATAATGTTGTTACCCCATCTTTATCCTCAACCAACCTATGGCATTTTAGGCTTGACCACATTTCTGGAAAACGTCTCAATGACTTGCATAATAAATATCCCTTTATTACAAAGCATGTTAATGAAAATTTTCTTATTTGTCATCTTTCAAAACAAAGAAAATTGTCTTATAGCTCTAGCACGAGTAGAGCTTCAAATACTTTTGATCTAATTCATATGGACATTTGGGGTCACTTGTCTACCCCTTTTACTCATGGTCACAAATATTTTTTAACCATTCTTGATTATTAAAGTCGATTCACTTGGATTGTTTTATTAAAATCTAAAGCTAGGTAAAAACACATGTCCAAAATTTCATTGCCTTTGCTAAAAATCAATTTCACACAAAAATCAAATGCATTCGCAAGGATAATGGTCCATAAATTTTTCTTAAAGATTTCTTAGCATCTAAAGGAATCCTTCATCAAACTAGTTATGTTTACACTCCCCAACAAAATGAAAGAATTGAAAGAAAACATCAACACATTCTTAATGTTACTCATCCACTTATGTTTCAATCTCATCTTCCTAAACATGTTTGGTCTTATGTGGTTAAATATCTTGTTTATTTAATTAACCTTGTTCCCTCTCATGTCATTCAAAACATGTGCTCCTATGAGATTTTACACAAACAAACACCTGATTTTCCCATGCTTAATTTTTTTGGTTATTTATGTTACGCTTCCATACACACTCCATGTCAAAAAATTTGATGCTCATTCTCGTGAGGGAGTCTTTCTTGGTTTTAAAATTGGAACTAAGAGTTATGTTATTTTTTATTTGATATCTAAAACTACCTTTATATCACGAGACATTTCTTTTCTGAATTTAATTTTCCCTTTAAACCAAATTTAAGTTCAAAAACCATTGTTCCTCACATTACTATTTCTACTCATCTCATGGATCCATATCTTGAAAACTATCAGCCCAACTCAGTCCAACATTCACACAATCCATTTATTTCTCATTATTCACCTAAGTTCTCACCTACTACTCATAGATCTCAATATGACACACCCTTTACACAATCCCAAACCAGCACACAACAAACCAACACAAGCCAAAACAGTCCATCACCTAACCATTTACCACCGTCTTCAGATACACAACTTTCAACACCACCTGCACCACCCCTTCGTCACTCCACTCGCCCCAACAATCCACTCCTTTCCTTTGCATTTTCAATGTAATTCTTTGTCTACAATGCCAAATCCATCATCATCCAAGTGCTTGTATCCAATTCAATTTGTAATTAATTATTGTCGAATTTCTGAATCTCATTGTCATTAGTTAATGAATCTCTCTTCTAAGCAAAACCTCGTAATTATCATGAAGTCGTTTACCATTCTTGCTAGCTTGAGGCCATGAATGTTGAGATTGATACCTTGGTTCTAAATAAAACTTGGGATAGTGTGGACAAGCCTCCCCTTGTCAAACGCATCGGTTGTAAGTGGGTTTATCGACTCAAACGAAGATCAGATGGCTTTGTCGAATGTTACAAAGCATGTTTAGTTGATAAGGTTTTCTCATAGATTGAAGGAATCAAATACTTTGAAACTTTTTCTTCTATTGTGAAAAGGATAACCATTCATGTTATTCTTACTCCTGCATCCATTAATTGTTGGCAACTTCAACAATTAGATGTCAACAACACGCTCCTTCATGAGGATCTTAATGAAGATGTGTACATGTCCATTCCCCTTGGATTAGGCTCTTAAGATCCCTCTAAATGTTGCAAATTGAAGAAATCTATATATGGTCTCAAGCAAGCTAGCCGCAAATGGTATGAAAAACTCTCTTTTGCTTCTCTCTTGTGTTTATATTCAAGCCCAAACTGATCGTAGTTTGTTTATTAAAGTTTCTAGTCTTGACATTAATGTTATGATTATATATGTTGATGATATTGTATTGACTATAAATTCACCCATTAAAATGGCTCATATTAAACATGTTCTTCACTCTAATTTTCATATTAAGGATCTTGGGATTTTAAAATATTTTCTAGGCTTGGAGGTAGCTCATTCAGAAAGAGGGATTTCCCTATGTCAACGCAAATATTATATTGATTACTCACATATGCTGGCATGCTTGGCTGTAAACCTTCCTCTACCCCCAATGTATAGCTCTCTTCGCCTCCATTAGGACTCTGACCCCCTCTTTGTTGATCCCCTGCCCTATCGGTGTTTGGTTGGAAGACTATTATAACTTACTACTATACATCCAGACATTGTATATGCTACACACTAACTTAGCCAATTCATGGCTCATCCAAGTCAAGCTCATCACCATGCTGCCATGAAAGTTTTAGCTTATCTCAAAAGTTGTATAGGGAAAGGTCTTCTTTTTTGTAAAGATTCTCCCTTGCAAATATACGATTTTAGTGATGGCAATTGGGCCACTTATGTTGATTCTCGGTGATCTATCATTGATTATTACTTATTTTTTGGTCATTCCTTAATATTATGGAAGACCAAGAAATAAAGCATTATCTCTTGCTCTTCTTCTAAGGTCGAGTATCGCGCTCTTGTGAACTCCAATGATTGTCTTACTTGCTTAATGATCTTCAAGTCAATTGTTCTAAATATGTTGTTTTATTTTGTGATAACCAAAGTGCTCTTCACATTACTGTCAATCTTGTCTTTCATGAACGCACAAAACATTTGGATATTGATTGTCATTTAGTTTGTGAAAAATCTCAAGAAGGGTTAATGCACTTATTACTAGTTTCCTCCTCACATCAACTGGCTGACATATTTATCAAAGTTCTCTCACCTAAACTCTTTCATTCTAATATCTCCAAGCTGGCGTTAGTTAATATTTTCCTACCTCTAGCTTATGGAGGGCTAATAAAAGCAAGGCCCAATTTGGCCAAGAGAGCACATGCGAAAGCAAAACAGAAAATAGCACAACAGAAGAATATACCAGACAATAATACTGTATATAAGACTTTTTTGTTTTTGTCCTTGTTCTGTTAAGTCATCCTTTGTGTACATATATTACCTTTTATGAAAGGCAATATAGAACAGTGAATTCCATTTGCATCTTTGCCTCTTTTATCTTTTTTCTTTGTTTTCGTTCTTTTACCTCCATCGTCGGACATATTTCTCCAAGGCAACCACCGCACCGCTGCTCATCATCACTACACTATCGCAAACCACCACAGGTCCTCCATGTCGTCCCGTGATCAAACAAGAACCCACCATGGGATTTGCCATGCATAATTAAAAAAAATGGAACCCTAAAAAAAGATGAAGGAGATAGGAGGAAAAAGATGAATCAAATCGCAATATTTACCAACAAAATTTACAGATGAATTTTTCCTTCAGTAATTATTAACGGATATAAATTTATGGCGATAAATATTATTGACCGTATTTTTACTAACAAATTTTGATCATAAAAAATTCCTTAGAAAAGTTGTTACCGTAAGATATTTGACGTTTTCGACAGTCCATAATGCCTTTTTTTTTTGTAGTGAATTGAACAAAGGTTCCTTACTGACCTAAAGTTACATGCATATCAAAATCCTAAGTAACTATAAAAGGGCCCAGAAAAGAACTTTGTTTTACCAATTGATCGAACAAAAGATAACTCTCGAATGTAGGAGTCTATATATCATATATACATTATAATATGAGCAACATATTAAGTTACCTATTTAAAATCTTATTTTATAATAAGAATTTAAAAAAAATTACAATTTTTATTTTATTTTATGCGAGTTAGCCGGAAAACCTTCTATAAAAATTGTATATGTTTTACTTATTAATAATAAGTATATTATATATATTCACTTAAATAAAATAATTTGTTAGGCTTAATTTTTCTTAAAATAATAATTGGTTTAAAGATTTGGCTGCTAAAAATATGCTTTTTATATATTTTTTAAAAAGTTAGGTTATATATATATATATATATATATATATATATATATTCATATTTATTGAGGAAACTCAAGTGGGTCCTCTTGTTTAAAATAGTCTCAATTGGGTTCTAAATTTTGTAAATTCGTAACAATTACGCCCTTTCTGTTAAGTGATCAGAAATAGGGTCAAGAGTTGATGACGTTTTGCATAGTAAATATGCTAATATGAATGTTTTTATTACGTTGAATTAAGATTTAAATTATGATGGTGTATTAGTTTTTGACATGGTGTTATGTAATTGGTCAACGTGGTTAGCAAAATAAATTAGGGATTTTGTGCAGTTGAGATTATGGATTTTTGAACTGAATAAGGTTTACAAAAAGAGGGATTTCGAAAGGGAATAAGAAATTTCACCTTACGCTTTTGAAAGACGTACCAAACATTCACATCAGTTGAGGTTAGTTTGCTTTCGTGCTTCGTTTTATGTTGCATTTTGGTTTTAGGGATGAGAAATGAGAAATGGATTTTTGTGTTGTGGTATGAGTATTTATTAGCAATGTTTTATGCGGTGTTGTCCCCTATTTTTTTTTTCAAATGTGTAGAAGTTTAGAACTTGTGGTCCCTTATTTGGGTGTGTCGGTGGGTGGTGGGGATTTGAGTTTGTCCCCTATTTCTTTTTGAATTGTGTAGAACCTGTGGTCCTCTATTTGAGTGTTTCGGTGTTAGTTTGTCCCCTCATTTGCGTGTTTGAGTGGTAGGGAGTGTAATAATAATAATATTTTGTGGACATAATGTACAAGTGCAAAGACTTTGTGAGATATATATAATATAAAATGGATGAGTACCATACTGGAAACTTTGTAAGTGATGAAAATGGGAAATTGGAATTTGATGGGAAACAGTAGAATGATTTTGTGACCCGCATACATTGAGCTATTTTGGGATCTTAGCTTCATTCAAAGACTTAGGACATATAAATGTGAAAGAACTTTGGTACTCTTTAAGAGGTGAGTCAATACTGGAAGATATGTTAGAACTATTGGCTGATGACCGTGGCGCAATGCATATGCTTAACATAACCACGTTGGGGTGAGTTAAAGGAAAATGATGAAGGTTGGGAGGTGGAGGTTGATGGTGAAAAAGGAGTAGAGGAGGGTTGCAAGGTGGAAGGTGATGGTCATGTTGAAGTTGCAAAAGAGTTGGAGGAGGGTGATGGTAGACAAGATTGTAATGGTGATGTTCCAAGAGAGATGAAGGAACATGTGAGTGGTATTGGTGCAGAAGAGTTGGAGCAAGGTGATGGTGATGGTGATGATGAAGTTGCAAGAGAAATGGAGGAGGGTAATGGTGCAAAATAGGTGGAGAGTGATGATGATGTTGATGGTGCAAAAGAGGTGGATGAAAGTGATGTTGCAAAAGAAGTGGAAGATGTAGTTGGTGATGGTGATGGTAATACTAACGATGTAGACAATTTTTGAGGTACAAAATGTATATGATTTTGAGCTATATGATGTAGATGAGGATGAGGATGTAGGTGAGGAAGTTGAAAGTGAATGTGAGTCTATGAGTGAAGAAAGTCTGGTTGATGTCACCGTTGAATGTGACATTGGGACTTGTACAAGAAAAGTCACAGAAGAACCTTACAGTCCAACAGTGAGCCTTCACGGGCAAGTGATAGTGATTCAATTCTTGATGTGTGTGGACTGTCTGATATTGAGTGGGTGTTAGATGAGTTTCTTAGTGGTACAAATAAGGAGGAGGAAACTGAAAATATAGGAATTTATGGTAGGTTTCTCACTTTTACAATGCTTAAAAGTTTGGATGAATATAAATGGGAAGTAGGAACATTTTTCACTGAAAAGAAGGAATTCATAGAAGTCATTAGGACTTATGCACTCACAAATGGAAAAAATTTTAAATTTGTTAAGAATGACAAGAAGAGAGTGTCAGTAAAATGTTTGAGGGCAAATGGAAAATGTAAATGGTATGCTTATTACACATTTATGTGTGGTGTGAAGTCATGACAGCTTAGAAAAATAATTTATGTTCACAACTGTACTAGAGATTTTAATGTGAAGTTGATGAATGTGAAATGGTTGAGTCAAAAGATGAAGAAAACTGTGAGAGAAAACCCATGAAGGTAATGGACATTCGGGATAAAGTAAGTAGGAAATGGAATGTTGGTATATCTAGAAATATGGTTTTTAAGGCAAGAGCCATTGCAAAAGATAATGTTGAGGGAGTCATACAAAGAACAATTTAGAAGAATTTATGATTATGGTCATGAACGTTTGAGAACAAATCCAGGTTCAATAGTCAAAATAAAAGTTGAAAACAGTAACAGTGAGTAATCTTCAATAGATTTTATGCATGCTTGAAGGCATGCAAAGATAACTTCATTTGTTCTATACCCATTGTTGGGTTGGATGGATGCTTCTTGAAAGGAAAATATGGAGGGGAGTTGCTAACATCAATTGGAAGAGATGAAAATGAACAAATTTTGTCCCTATCATATGTTGTTGTTGAGGTGGAAAAAAAGGACTCATGCACTTGGTTCTTGGAGTTTCTCATTAAGGACTTTGGTAGGGAAGGTGTGTGTGCATTATGCACATTTATTTTAGACCAACAAAATGTGAGTTTTATCAATTTTTTATTACAATAAATTTGACATATAAGTAAACTAACTTGAGTGTTTTAAAATGTCAGGGTCTTTTGTCAACTATTCAAGATCTTCCACCTGGGTAGAACAAAGATTTTGTATTAGACATTTGCATTCAAACTTTAGAAAGAAATTTCACGAGAAAATTCTTAAACGGCGCATGTGGAGGGCAGCAACAACCACATATCCACAACAATAGGAGTGTGAAATGAGGAACATTAAAGAGGTCAATTTGGACGCCTTTAAATACTTGATCGTTATTACACCCAGGTATGTATTTACTATTATAAATGGTTTATATACATTTGTTGCCCCTACTTTTCAGACTTATATTTACTCATATATTAAATCAGGTTTTGGTTAAGATCTAGATTCACCCCTACATCAAACTGTAATACTCTCATCAACAATATGTGCGAGGGCTTCTATAATGTACTAGTTCATACTAGGCCTAAGCCCATTATTACCATGTTACAAGACATTAGGGTTTACATTATGAAAAGATGGGCTACGAACAGGACAAAGATGACATCATATGAAGGTTCTATCTGCCTAAAGTTCTGAACAAATTTCAAAAGGAATCATGGTGAACTAGATATTGGATACCAAGGTAACTTTAATGATACAATTAACATCATTTTAAATGATCATTACTTTATTGGTAACTGTGTTATGGTTTTGTATACATGACAGGTGGTCAATATATAACTTTTTTGAAGTCAGGCACATATCTCAATTTGGAGAGAAATTTGTTGTCAANTTGTCATCTTTCAAAACAAAGAAAATTGTCTTATAGCTCTAGCACGAGTAGAGCTTCAAATACTTTTGATCTAATTCATATGGACATTTGGGGTCACTTGTCTACCCCTTTTACTCATGGTCACAAATATTTTTTAACCATTCTTGATTATTAAAGTCGATTCACTTGGATTGTTTTATTAAAATCTAAAGCTAGGTAAAAACACATGTCCAAAATTTCATTGCCTTTGCTAAAAATCAATTTCACACAAAAATCAAATGCATTCGCAAGGATAATGGTCCATAAATTTTTCTTAAAGATTTCTTAGCATCTAAAGGAATCCTTCATCAAACTAGTTATGTTTACACTCCCCAACAAAATGAAAGAATTGAAAGAAAACATCAACACATTCTTAATGTTACTCATCCACTTATGTTTCAATCTCATCTTCCTAAACATGTTTGGTCTTATGTGGTTAAATATCTTGTTTATTTAATTAACCTTGTTCCCTCTCATGTCATTCAAAACATGTGCTCCTATGAGATTTTACACAAACAAACACCTGATTTTCCCATGCTTAATTTTTTTGGTTATTTATGTTACGCTTCCATACACACTCCATGTCAAAAAATTTGATGCTCATTCTCGTGAGGGAGTCTTTCTTGGTTTTAAAATTGGAACTAAGAGTTATGTTATTTTTTATTTGATTTCTAAAACTACCTTTATATCACGAGACATTTCTTTTCTGAATTTAATTTTCCCTTTAAACCAAATTTAAGTTCAAAAACCATTGTTCCTCACATTACTATTTCTACTCATCTCATGGATCCATATCTTGAAAACTATCAGCCCAACTCAGTCCAACATTCACACAATCCATTTATTTCTCATTATTCACCTAAGTTCTCACCTACTACTCATAGATCTCAATATGACACACCCTTTACACAATCCCAAACCAGCACACAACAAACCAACACAAGCCAAAACAGTCCATCACCTAACCATTTACCACCGTCTTCAGATACACAACTTTCAACACCACCTGCACCACCCCTTCGTCACTCCACTCGCCCCAACAATCCACTCCTTTCCTTTGCATTTTCAATGTAATTCTTTGTCTACAATGCCAAATCCATCATCATCCAAGTGCTTGTATCCAATTCAATTTGTCATTAATTATTGTCGAATTTCTGAATCTCATAGTCATTAGTTAATGAATCTCTCTTCTAAGCAAAACCTCGTAATTATCATGAAGTCGTTTACCATTCTTGCTAGCTTGAGGCCATGAATGTTGAGATTGATACCTTGGTTCTAAATAAAACTTGGGATAGTGTGGACAAGCCTCCCCTTGTCAAACGCATCGGTTGTAAGTGGGTTTATCGACTCAAACGAAGATCAGATGGCTTTGTCGAATGTTACAAAGCATGTTTAGTTGATAAGGTTTTCTCATAGATTGAAGGAATCAAATACTTTGAAACTTTTTCTTCTATTGTGAAAAGGATAACCATTCATGTTATTCTTACTCCTGCATCCATTAATTGTTGGCAACTTCAACAATTAGATGTCAACAACACGCTCCTTCATGAGGATCTTAATGAAGATGTGTACATGTCCATTCCCCTTGGATTAGGCTCTTAAGATCCCTCTAAATGTTGCAAATTGAAGAAATCTATATATGGTCTCAAGCAAGCTAGCCGCAAATGGTATGAAAAACTCTCTTTTGCTTCTCTCTTGTGTTTATATTCAAGCCCAAACTGATCGTAGTTTGTTTATTAAAGTTTCTAGTCTTGACATTAATGTTATGATTATATATGTTGATGATATTGTATTGACTATAAATTCACCCATTAAAATGGCTCATATTAAACATGTTCTTCACTCTAATTTTCATATTAAGGATCTTGGGATTTTAAAATATTTTATAGGCTTGGAGGTAGCTCATTCAGAAAGAGGGATTTCCCTATGTCAAAGCAAATATTATATTGATTACTCACATATGCTAGCATGCTTGGCTGTAAACCTTCCTCTACCCCCAATGTATAGCTCTCTTCGCCTCCATTAGGACTCTAACCCCCTATTTGTTGATCCCATGACCTATAAATGTTTGGTTGGAAGACTATTATAACTTACTACTAAACATCCAGACATTGTATATGCTACACACTAACTTAGCCAATTCATGGCTCATCCAAGTCAAGCTCATCACCATGCTGCCATGAAAGTTTTAGCTTATCTCAAAAGTTGTATAGGGAAAGGTCTTCTTTTTTGTAAAGATTCTCCCTTGCAAATATACGATTTTAGTGATGGCAATTGGGCCACTTATGTTGATTCTCGGTGATCTATCATTGATTATTACTTATTTTTTGGTCATTCCTTAATATTATGGAAGACCAAGAAATAAAGCATTATCTCTTGCTCTTCTTCTAAGGTCGAGTATCGCGCTCTTGTGAACTCCAATGATTGTCTTACTTGCTTAATGATCTTCAAGTCAATTGTTCTAAATATGTTGTTTTATTTTGTGATAACCAAAGTGCTCTTCACATTGCTGTCAATCTTGTCTTTCATGAACGCACAAAACATTTGGATATTGATTGTCATTTAGTTTGTGAAAAATCTCAAGAAGGGTTAATGCACTTATTACTAGTTTCCTCCTCACATCAACTGGCTGACATATTTATCAAAGTTCTCTCACCTAAACTCTTTCATTCTAATATCTCCAAGCTGGCGTTAGTTAATATTTTCCTACCTCTAGCTTATGGAGGGCTAATAAAAGCAAGGCCCAATTTGGCCAAGAGAGCACATGCGAAAGCAAAACAGAAAATAGCACAACAGAAGAATATACCAGACAATAATACTGTATATAAGACTTTTTTGTTTTTGTCCTTGTTCTGTTAAGTCATCCTTTGTGTACATATATTACCTTTTATGAAAGGCAATATAGAACAGTGAATTCCATTTGCATCTTTGCCTCTTTTATCTTTTTTCTTTGTTTTCGTTCTTTTACCTCCATCGTCGGACATATTTCTCCAAGGCAACCACCGCACCGCTGCTCATCATCACTACACTATCGCAAACCACCACAGGTCCTCCATGTCGTCCCGTGATCAAACAAGAACCCACCATGGGATTTGCCATGCATAATTAAAAAAAATGGAACCCTAAAAAAAGATGAAGGAGATAGGAGGAAAAAGATGAATCAAATCGCAATATTTACCAACAAAATTTACAGATGAATTTTTCCTTCAGTAATTATTAACGGATATAAATTTATGGCGATAAATATTATTGACCGTATTTTTACTAACAAATTTTGATCATAAAAAATTCCTTAGAAAAGTTGTTACCGTAAGATATTTGACGTTTTCGACAGTCCATAATGCCTTTTTTTTTTGTAGTGAATTGAACAAAGGTTCCTTACTGACCTAAAGTTACATGCATATCAAAATCCTAAGTAACTATAAAAGGGCCCAGAAAAGAACTTTGTTTTACCAATTGATCGAACAAAAGATAACTCTCGAATGTAGGAGTCTATATATCATATATACATTATAATATGAGCAACATATTAAGTTACCTATTTAAAATCTTATTTTATAATAAGAATTTAAAAAAAATTACAATTTTTATTTTATTTTATGCGAGTTAGCCGGAAAACCTTCTATAAAAATTGTATATGTTTTACTTATTAATAATAAGTATATTATATATATTCACTTAAATAAAATAATTTGTTAGGCTTAATTTTTCTTAAAATAATAATTGGTTTAAAGATTTGGCTGCTAAAAATATGCTTTTTATATATTTTTTAAAAAGTTAGGTTATATATATATATATATATATATATATATATATATATTCATATTTATTGAGGAAACTCAAGTGGGTCCTCTTGTTTAAAATAGTCTCAATTGGGTTCTAAATTTTGTAAATTCGTAACAATTACGCCCTTTCTGTTAAGTGATCAGAAATAGGGTCAAGAGTTGATGACGTTTTGCATAGTAAATATGCTAATATGAATGTTTTTATTACGTTGAATTAAGATTTAAATTATGATGGTGTATTAGTTTTTGACATGGTGTTATGTAATTGGTCAACGTGGTTAGCAAAATAAATTAGGGATTTTGTGCAGTTGAGATTATGGATTTTTGAACTGAATAAGGTTTACAAAAAGAGGGATTTCGAAAGGGAATAAGAAATTTCACCTTACGCTTTTGAAAGACGTACCAAACATTCACATCAGTTGAGGTTAGTTTGCTTTCGTGCTTCGTTTTATGTTGCATTTTGGTTTTAGGGATGAGAAATGAGAAATGGATTTTTGTGTTGTGGTATGAGTATTTATTAGCAATGTTTTATGCGGTGTTGTCCCCTATTTTTTTTTTCAAATGTGTAGAAGTTTAGAACTTGTGGTCCCTTATTTGGGTGTGTCGGTGGGTGGTGGGGATTTGAGTTTGTCCCCTATTTCTTTTTGAATTGTGTAGAACCTGTGGTCCTCTATTTGAGTGTTTCGGTGTTAGTTTGTCCCCTCATTTGCGTGTTTGAGTGGTAGGGAGTGTAATAATAATAATATTTTGTGGACATAATGTACAAGTGCAAAGACTTTGTGAGATATATATAATATAAAATGGATGAGTACCATACTGGAAACTTTGTAAGTGATGAAAATGGGAAATTGGAATTTGATGGGAAACAGTAGAATGATTTTGTGACCCGCATACATTGAGCTATTTTGGGATCTTAGCTTCATTCAAAGACTTAGGACATATAAATGTGAAAGAACTTTGGTACTCTTTAAGAGGTGAGTCAATACTGGAAGATATGTTAGAACTATTGGCTGATGACCGTGGCGCAATGCATATGCTTAACATAACCACGTTGGGGTGAGTTAAAGGAAAATGATGAAGGTTGGGAGGTGGAGGTTGATGGTGAAAAAGGAGTAGAGGAGGGTTGCAAGGTGGAAGGTGATGGTCATGTTGAAGTTGCAAAAGAGTTGGAGGAGGGTGATGGTAGACAAGATTGTAATGGTGATGTTCCAAGAGAGATGAAGGAACATGTGAGTGGTATTGGTGCAGAAGAGTTGGAGCAAGGTGATGGTGATGGTGATGATGAAGTTGCAAGAGAAATGGAGGAGGGTAATGGTGCAAAATAGGTGGAGAGTGATGATGATGTTGATGGTGCAAAAGAGGTGGATGAAAGTGATGTTGCAAAAGAAGTGGAAGATGTAGTTGGTGATGGTGATGGTAATACTAACGATGTAGACAATTTTTGAGGTACAAAATGTATATGATTTTGAGCTATATGATGTAGATGAGGATGAGGATGTAGGTGAGGAAGTTGAAAGTGAATGTGAGTCTATGAGTGAAGAAAGTCTGGTTGATGTCACCGTTGAATGTGACATTGGGACTTGTACAAGAAAAGTCACAGAAGAACCTTACAGTCCAACAGTGAGCCTTCACGGGCAAGTGATAGTGATTCAATTCTTGATGTGTGTGGACTGTCTGATATTGAGTGGGTGTTAGATGAGTTTCTTAGTGGTACAAATAAGGAGGAGGAAACTGAAAATATAGGAATTTATGGTAGGTTTCTCACTTTTACAATGCTTAAAAGTTTGGATGAATATAAATGGGAAGTAGGAACATTTTTCACTGAAAAGAAGGAATTCATAGAAGTCATTAGGACTTATGCACTCACAAATGGAAAAAATTTTAAATTTGTTAAGAATGACAAGAAGAGAGTGTCAGTAAAATGTTTGAGGGCAAATGGAAAATGTAAATGGTATGCTTATTACACATTTATGTGTGGTGTGAAGTCATGACAGCTTAGAAAAATAATTTATGTTCACAACTGTACTAGAGATTTTAATGTGAAGTTGATGAATGTGAAATGGTTGAGTCAAAAGATGAAGAAAACTGTGAGAGAAAACCCATGAAGGTAATGGACATTCGGGATAAAGTAAGTAGGAAATGGAATGTTGGTATATCTAGAAATATGGTTTTTAAGGC